TTGATACCTCCACATCTCTGGCCTAGCCTGTCCAAAATTCAGCTTCTCACATGATCTTCCTTGCCTGTCAATCTGACCATGTCAGAGGAGGTTGTGAAGACCAGGACTTTAACAAGGTTCAAAAAAGAACTAGATACATTCATGGAGGATAGGTCCATCAATGGTGATTAGCCAGGATGGGTAGAAATGGTGCCCGTTGCCTCTGTTTTGTCAGGGATATTATTTTGGATACTATCAGGCAGAGGAGAGTTCCAAGCCATGAAGTGACATTGATTAGACTGAGATGCTATGTTTCCTGTGAAGTTAATACAGGCATCCTGTTCTGTCTCCTCTAAGACTGACATCACCAGATCTGTTCCTGGCTTGTGAATTGGCTGGAATCTTGCACAGAAATGATTCATCACCACGTATGGTTTAATGAGACCCTAATTCAGGGATGATTAGTTACTTTATAATTTCACCTCGACTTCTCTGTTAACAAGTCTCATATTTTGTATCAGCGACTATCTAAATGGACTTAATCCTCCAGCCAACATATATCTGTTTCTCAAACCTTACCCATTTACACCAGCCTTTGTAAATGTGCCCCAGAGAATTCTGTGATTCGTCTCTTGTGCAGTGCTGCTGGGTATTAATAAATAGTGGCTGCATTTCAGTGATGGATGACATGATCACTGTGCTTACTGGGTTTGCATGCATTGGTTTAGTTTATAAAGCATTAAGGGTCCTTTTGGTATGAAAAGTCCAATATTGTTATTTAGCATAATTTGGCATATGCAAAATGTCCACTTCAGTAACGGTTCTTTCCACACTGGTAGGCGTAATGGATGTAATGTAGTCACAGCATGTTCCCTAAAATCCTGGGATCAGTAACATTAAATAGGTCTTTGGAATTTAAATAATGGATAAAATGTCAGAATACAAGGTTGGTATAGACTCAATATACCTCTTTCCCAGTGCTTACTTTCTCCAGACCTTTCTCTTATATTTCCTTAATTCTTAGATGTAGTATTTAAGGCAGAAAGATGAGGCACATTTCAGCAGTCTGCAAAGCCCCATCTTTCTACCCCACTGTCCTACACACAACACACCATTCCTTCATCAGAAGAAAAATTCTGGGCAGGTAAGTAGGCCAAATGTTCAGGACCCGATTCATTGTGCCCAGTCATGTTTGGTGATCTGGAAGCTAATCTAAGTTGCACACAGTCACAGGGACTCTGGCGACTTTGGTTTCACCATTGATTTGAAAGACACATATACAGATCTTCTGTGAACGTCCTCTGGTTGTGGTTTGTCAGGTCCAGAAATCTTCCACTGATATTTCTGTGCCAACTCCAGTCTTTGAGGCCTCACCCAATACACACTATTCTATCTCAATGACACCAGCCTACATTCAGGGAAACTCTACTGACATCAGGGATATTATTTTGGATAGCTGGCTTGATTCTTCAGGGACTTGTGAATCCTTTACTTGTGCAAACTATTGTAGCTCAGTTGAACTCAGTTTTCACTAGCTGAGGGTCTGACCCTATGGATCTATGAATATCTCGTGTGTTGTGGTATCATCCTCCCCTCTCCCCATGGTTCAACAATGTGAGAGGGCCAGTCTTCCACCCCTACAGCCAGGGCTTGCTTTTGCCAGGGCTGAGCCCTGACACCTCTAGGCTTGACGATTCCTCGCCCCAGCATCTCTGGGCTTGCCACATCAGTTATGACATTTAAAAAATTGCTCGAGCCCCAGCACCTCTTTCATTACAAATTAAGCACTGCCTACAGCCCTCAATACCTTTGGATCTGGGAGGAAATCCTATTGCAGCTACCTTCCTGTTGCCAGCTGCCCTCTGATTGCAGAAGAGTATGACATTCCAGCAGGGACACAGCAGGGCTCACAACTGGGGATTGCTTGCACCATGCTGCACTGCATATGAAAATCGTCCAGAGACAAAAGTGAAGGAGGTGTCTCTGGTTGATGACTGAAGTTTCATGGGGATCTTGGATGTTGGTTTGCTGAGAGAGGAGCTGGAGAGTTTTCTAGGTGAATCACTGTCTCCCCAAAGACTGTTGGAAGTTTCTACACCTGGAAACACAGGGAAAAGAGTGTCAAGGAGCTGTAAAATACTATCATTCCTAGTTTTTAACTGACCCTCCCATTGCTATTATCAAAGTTCACAGATGACACTAAGTGAGGGGGAGAGGTAGATACCTTGGGGTATGTCTACACTACCCCGCTAGTTCGAACTAGCGGGGTAGTGTAGACATACCCTTGGAGGGCAGGGATAGGGTCCAGAGTGACCTAGACAAATTGGAGGATTGGGCCAAAAGAAATCTGATGAGATTCAACAAGGACAACCATAGAGTCCTGCACTTGGGATGGAAGAATCCCAAGCATAGTTACAAGCTAGGGACAAAGCAGCAGTTTGGCAGAAAAGAACCTGGGGATTGTAGTGGATGAGAAGCTGGATATGAATCAACAGTGTGCCCTTGTAGCCAAGAAGGCTGATGGCATATTAGAATGCAGTAGGAGGAGCATTGCCAGCAGATCTAGGGAAGCGATAATCCCCCTTTATTTGGCACTGGTGAGGCCACATCTGGAATATTGCATCCAATTCTGGGCCCCCCATTGCAGAAAGGATGTGAATGCATTGGAGAAAGTCCATCGTAGGACAACAGAATTGATTAGGGGGCAGGAGCACATGACCTATGAGGAGAGACAGAGGGATTTGGGCTTATTTAGTCTTCAGAAGAGGAGAGTGAGGGGCGATATGATAGTCTTCAACTTGGATTTGATGACCTCCTGAGGTCTCTTCCAGCCTTACGATTCTATGAAAGTCCAAGTGAAGAGATTTATTATTTCTTTTGAACAGATCATAGCTATTTTGTTGTCCTGCTGCTTAGATTACTTCCGTAATACTATGAATTCTACTTTACTTTTCCCCAGACTGTAATGTACTTATATAAACAATGACAAATTCTGATATTAAATTACTGAAAAGTTGCTGTTTTTTCTCTCCTTGTGTCTTCTATGTGGCCTTGATTGGGAAACATGTTTGCCTGCCTATCACTGTGTCTTATCTGATGTGGCTCTCACTACTGAGGTATTTTCCGTAATACTATGAATTCTACTTTACTTTTCCCCAGACTGTAATGTACTTATATAAACAATGACAAATTCTGATATTAAATTACTGAAAAGTTGCTGTTTTTTCTCTCCTTGTGTCTTCTATGTGGCCTTGATTGGGAAACATGTTTGCCTGCCTATCACTGTGTCTTATCTGATGTGGCTCTCACTACTGAGGTATTTTAGCAGCAATTTCACTCTCTATCCCTCCCCCTCCAGTCAGCAGAAACTAGACTTAGTTTATTTTGTATGATTTATTTTGGTTGGAGATTATCCATCTTTTGTTGAAGATGGTTCTCATTTTAAAATAAGTAGTGACTCAAATGTACTAAGTCCCCAGTCCTGCAGGTCAGCCCTTTGGGCACATTTACGCAGCAGGGCTAAAGCTGAAATAAGCTACACAACTCGAGCTACGTCATTTGTGTAGCTTAAGTTGAAATAGCTTAACTCAGCTTTAGGCGCTGTTTACACAGCAGGAAGTCCAAGATACAGCACTCTTCCTCCGACTTCCCTTACTCCTCATATAATGAAGGTAACAGGAGTCGGAGTAAGAAGTCTTCCAGCTCGCCATTATTTTGACATTATGTCAAAATAACTGCTTGCTGTGTAGACGTGGACTATGTTGTTTCAGAATAACGTTAGTTATTCCAAAATAATGCTGCTGAGTCGACATAGCCTTTGAGTCCTAGTGGTCCCCTCAGTAGTAACCAATGCTACTTTTGATCATATACCCAATAATTTATCTCCAAAAGGCATGGCAGCATGATTTAATTATCACAATGGTTTCTCTGGAAACTGGTTTTATTGGATCATAGTAGCTAGGTTAGGCTTCATATTCTATTCTTCATTTGGGGAAAAAAAGACTATGAGTAATTGCTTAATTTTATTCTTTGATGATGTAGTCTCATTATATCAGCAATACTGAGTTGTAAATGTAACTTAGTGAAGCTGTAGTGAAAGAGCATCTGTTGAGAGCAACTGCAAAAAACAATTGACTCTGCCCATTTCCATAGACTTCCTGAAAAATAAACCAGGTCAGAGAAAACATGGTACAAAATCAGCCTTTCTTCTTGTTCCAAATGTTTGAGAGTCAGAACTCTCTAGAAGTAGTTGTGGAGTTTAGAACAAATGATACCCCTAGAGAGTATTTTCTAGAGTTATATAAAATGCCAAAGGATGGTGATGAAAATCAAAATAACATATAAATGTTATGTTTAGTGTATGCTTTCATTGCCTTTGCAAAAGGAAAGCATATCCCCCCAAAAGTCAGCTGTGTCTTACCAGCTTTGCAAAATGATGAATGAATGCCTTGTTCATTATTATTGCTTAAGTCATTCCTATTTATGCCAGTATTTCGAGGATTATGTTTTGGTTGTTCTTGAGAGATGAAAACACTTTCTTGCTGATGAATAAACACTGCCACTTTTTAAATATTTGTATGCAAAATGTCTTTAAAGCCATTATGAAATGCTTTCCAAAAGCATTAAGAAGCTGTTTTTCGAAAAGCCACTTTTTCTCTACATTTTCTTTCATGCTAAACAGTCCAAATGAAAGGCCTTTCAGAGTTAACTAGTTTCAGCAATACCAGTGTTTTAGTGTAATGAATAACTTTTTATAGAGGACAATTGCAACAGTTCAATATGCTAGTATTTCTATTTCTGTGCCCCACCAATGCGGGATTCTGTAGTAGAATTTCTTTCTTTGAGAAAGCTGAAGCGATCAAAACCCTGATTAACCTCTGATATTCACGTGGTGCTCTTGATCTTGAGGACCGAAGCAATAACAAAGAGTTAATGGCAGCCATATGCTTAGGGTATTGTGGGTACTGTTGACCCAAAAGTGAACTCTGTGAGTGACTGCTGCTAACTGCTGTTTGTTTCAGGTTTGGCGTGGAGATTACTGATGAAGAGTTTGAGCTGCTACTTGACAGAATCCCCCTTGATGAAGATGGAAATGTCAGATACCCCCAGTTCATGGCCATGTTTGATTCTCGGTACTCAGCTTAAATGTTTTATTTCTCATTTGTTAGTAGATTTTTTTGTTTAATCTAAGAGGCTTACATAACATTTCTAAACAAGCTTTGATTTCTTAAATGTGCTTCTTTATTTCATTTATTTCATAACACTTAAGACTATATGATACTATCAGCACATTTTATTTATAACTTAATTGCACTTTAAACACTTCTTAGTATATTATATTATGAAGAGTACACCAGTGAGATAAAAATTTGCATGTATATATCTAGTGTTAAGGAATATGATAAACTTGTAAGTACAAACTAATGATTTCTAAAAACAGTAATAGATGCTTTTAATACCTGTGTAAGAACATACTGCATTTGCAGATACTATATATAGCTTAGAATACTTTTGAGAGAGGCAGTTGCTTTATAGAGGTTTTACTATTCAATTTCGTAAGGCTGAGATATGGATCAAATTTGGATTAAAAATGACATTTTTACGTGATATTTTATTTGGGAAAATTAGGGTCTGATCCTGAAAACCATTTATCGTGTGAGTAGCACTGTAGATAGAAGATAGATATGGTTTTATTCAAGCTGTGCAGACTACTTGTTGGAGTAAAAGTGTGAAGAAACTAGTCCTTAAATTGGAATAGAAAATGATCACAACTTGCACAATACTCTAATGATGGGAAAAGCAAGACGTATTTTCAATTAGCTGCTGAAAGCTTAGGATCCCAATGTTGACGAGGAGTCCTGTGGCACCTTATAGACTAACTGAAGTGTAGGAGCATAAGCTTTCATGGGCAAAGACCCACTTCGTCAGATGCATGTACATGCATCTGACGAAGTGGGTCTTTGCCCATGAAAGCTTATGCTCCTACACTTCAGTTAGTCTATAAGGTGCCACAGGACTCCTCGTCGCTTTTGCAGATTCAGACTAACACGGCTACCCCTCTGATACTTGATCCCAATGTTGTAATTCTTATGTACATCAAGCTCCTAAATTTTGTTGTGCGGAGTCTGCAAGGTTGAGACTTTATACTGGGAACAATTAATAAAGGTCCTTTTAATCTTTAGACAATAAGTATGAATTTCCCATATCTTTTCTATGAAAAGTTTTGTATGCGAGGGTAAACTTATAAATGACAGTCTTCACTTGTGCATGTTCCATTTTGGGCATGCACCTACTTCTGCTTACATATTGAAAACATCTGTATGCATGTTTACACTTGTTTGTGCTTTTTAAATAATCTCAAACATACATGTGTGCCAGTATTAGAATTTGTAGCCACTGAGGCCATGGGATTTGGAAGTGCAAATTCCAAATGTATATGTTAGAGCTATTTAAAGGGCATGCCCAAGTAGTCAAGTTTTTAGTAGGTGTTCACACCTTCATACTACCAGTGCAAGTAAATATTCACTTTGCTTTATTAACACATGCATGAAGGCCAGGTATAAGGTTTTGGAGAGCATTTACCTTCAGTTGTACTGAAACCATATGTGTTACTATATAATAAAATGTAATGTACACACTTCAAACCTGGCCAATTTTCACATCTCCTTGATTCCATCTCCTCCCATCTTTTTAGGGTATGTTTACATCACCACAGCCACTACCGTGGCACAGTCATACAGCTGTGGTGCTGCAACGGTGCCATTGTAGCATCATCATGTAGGCGCTTGCCTCAGTAATGAAAGGGGTTTTTCAATTGCTGTAGTTAATCCACCCTCTCAGGAGGCAGAAGTTAGGAATACTGACAAATTCTTTAGCAGAAGGAAGTGAAAGTCTCATGACAGAAAATAGAAGAGGCAGCAAAACAAGAGCAAGAGTTGGTTTGTGTAAGGCTAGATCTGGCATATGAGAATTGTCACCAATAGCTCAAACAGGCACTAACTACACTGTGAACCATGAAACTGTGGCACTGGGGCTTCCTGATAGTGGTGTAATAAAAGGTCTCAACATAAACAAAAGGCCTTTTGCCCCTCCCAGGCTCAGAGTTCATCCTGAGCTACTCTCTACGGGGTCATCTGGACCCCATAAACCCATGCTAAGTGAAGTTGTACTGGTCAGAAGAGGCAACAGATTACCATTTAATCCCTCCAGCAACAGAAGCACATCATCTGCTCAATGCGTTCCACACCTACAGCTGGGGCAGATCTGCTTCCTGTCCAGCCCTGCTATACCCCTTGCCTTCTCCACTCCATCTTTAGTCTGTGTCTGCCTCTGAACTTCTGATTCCTAACTCCTGACTCTGACCCTGGGCTTGTCCCATGATCATGTCTCAGGTTCCAACTTCCATGAAGACAGAGGCAAAGAAAGCATTGAGTACTTCAGCTTTTCCCACATCATCTGTCACTAGGTTGAGACACCCCACAGCCTCTCTGATCACCCTCTTATTGCTAACTTGTCTGTAGAAACCTTTCTTACTATCCTTCACATCCCTTGCTAACTGCAGTTCCAATAGCACTTTCACCTTCCTGATAATTCCCCTGCATTCTTGAGCAATATATTTATACTTCTCCCTAGTCATCTGTCCAAGTTTCCACTTCTTGTAAGCTTCCTTTTTGTGTTTAAGCTCACCAAGGATTTCCCCTGTAAGCCAATCTGGTCGCCTACCATATTTGCTTTTCTTGCTGCACATCGGAATGGTTTCTTCCTGTTCCTTTAATAAGGCTTCTTTAAAATACTGCCAGCTCTCCTAGACTCCTTTCCCCTTCATGTAAGCATCCCTGGAGAATCCTGCCCCAGTCATGCAAGTCATCCCACCAAGTCTCCGTTATTCCAATCAAATCATAGTTCTTTGACTGGGTCAGGGCTTGTAATTCTTCCTGTTTGTTTCCCAGGCTCCTTGCATTTGTGTACAAACACCTTAAGTAACCAGTTGATCACCCTACCTTCTCCATCCGAATCAGGGGTCCTCCCTTGTTGCTCGTTCCTCCTTGTGTTTCTTCCTGGTATCTGACTTCCTCATTTACCGCAGGGCTTTGGTCACCGTCCCCCAACGACACTAGTTTAAAGCCCTTCTCACTAGGTTTGCAAGCCTGACCACAAAGATGCTCTTTCCTCTCTTGGTTAGGTGGATCCCATCTCTTCCTAACAATCCTCGTGCCCGGAACAGAGTCTCATGGTCGAAGAAACCAAAGTCCTCTCTCCGACACCACCCGTGCAACCATGCATTTACTTCCTCAATTTGATGATCCTTACTCGGACCGTTTCCTTTGACAGGGAGGATGAACTATAACACCACTTGCGCTTCAAATTCCTTGATCCTTCTTCCCAGCACTACATAATCTGCTGTGACCCACTCAAGATCATTCATAGCCGTATCGTTAGTTCCTACATGGAGAAGCAGGAAGGTAGTGATCCGAAGGTTTAATCACTTTTGGAAGACTCTTGGTCACATCCTGAATGTGAGCTCCCGGTAAGCAGCACACTTCTCGAGATTGCAGGTCTGGATGGCAGATGGATGACTCAGTCCCTCTTAGGAGGGAGTCCCGATCACCACCACCTGTCTTCTTCTTTTGGGGGTGGTGGGCGTGGACCATGCATGTGGCCATCCTCTTGCACTCATACAAGCCTCAAGAATACCAAGTTCTCTACATCAGTAGGTGACTTTTACCTTAGGAAACCAGATAACTTGCTATTTAAATAAATGTCTGGTGATCCCCTGGACAGAAGGAATTCCAAAATTATCCCCGGGAGTCTTTCATCCTATTCATAGTTCATGTGCCCCTCTGGTGGTCACATACTATAAAAAAAAACAGTCTGTAGTTTTAGCCATTGGTGCCTGGCCTTAGCCAGCATGAAGCACTCTTCAAACAGAAACTAGAAATGCTGATTTCTGTTCCCTAAATGATGGGACGCTGATGACCCACGGTAAGTGCTCTCTCCAGTGCATTTACATACAATGGTGTTTGCTACTCCAGAGGACTCAGCTACTGGAGTTGGATCCACTCAGGAAGAGCAAGATTCAAAACCCCTTCTCTCCTGTGTACTTGACATACCCAACAGAAAGGATTAAGGTCTGGGAGATCAGTGCAGCTGGAACTACTCAGGCAGCTAGGCTCAGCTTTCCATACTGGATAGCAGGAGGAAGTATGGGACTGGGTGGGGAAGAGAATGCCCTCTGACCATAGGAGTGGGTCAGAAGCTCAGAATAAGATGATATGTGTTTATTTTGCGGGCATTACCCCCTGCCACTTTCATTGGCTGTGATTCCTGGCCAGTGGAAGTAATTAGGGTAGAGCCTGCAGGTTCCTGAGCTAGCTTCCCTGTGCTGCTGGTTCCCTAGCTGGGGGGAGGGGAGACTGCAGTGTGCAAAGCTGCTTCTTCCTACCCCACCAGGCAGATCTGGCCATGCGAGGGCTTTAGCATTTACTTGCCACTGCTTTCCCCCTCTGTGGAGGGAGGGGAGACCCCTGAGCCTCACAAGCTGGATCAAAGGAAGCGGGTGCCAAGATCCAGGCCAGAGGCCATAGGTTCCCTATTTCTGATCTATACCGTGTTTTGTAGTTTATTTATTTCACATGATTTATGTATGGTCATTTTAGCCACTTCCTTTCACAGCAGTGACTCAGTGTCATTCTCACACGATGAGCAACACAGCAGGAACTGACGTAATATTTTGAGAGATTGTGCTATAATTGATCTTTTTACAGTATGCACAGAAATAAATTTGCCTATGACCAGGCAAATTATTTAGAGTTGGAATTTGAAAAGTGCTCACAGTTGGCCTAACCCTGCTGTCATTTCAGTCAATAGCAAAACTCCCATTCATTTCAGTGGGAACAGTTAGGCCGTATGTGCTTTTGAAATTTTCTCCCTAAATAATCCGCATTTCTATATACATTGTATAAAGATGGATTATAGCACAGTCTTCCTTAAAATGCTGATGGATTAGTTCCTCCTGCTACACTGCTCATAAGGGGTCTGTCACCACTGTGAAAAGCAATGAGACAAAATTGCTATATAGACTGATTAATTTGCCACACACACAAGTTATTTTATGCAGTGGTAGTGTCGCCATATTAGTCTCAAAA